AGAAAAACGCTCGTCAACGCATCGCGATTAATCAAGAAACGCCGTCGACCGCCGTTAATCGCGTTCCTCCCTTTCGCTCACAGTTCCCCCTTTTCCTTCCTCTCGATTTGTTCCTCGTTGGGCTCGATTTTCCTCGAGTCTACCGCCTCTAAAATAACATCGTAGCAAGGCACGAGCGTTAAACTCGATTGTAGGTTACAGGGTCGTGGAGTATTTCGCCGCGGAGAGAGATATTCGGCTCTGGGAAGAATTACACGCGAGAAAATTGGCCGATCGTTCGAGAGATAGAGAGATAATTGACGATAATTACGCCCCTCCCTTTTGATGGAGGGGACGATCCTAGAATTTTCACGTCGCGTGTTTTTTTCTTTTTTTTTTTTTTTTTTTTTTTTTTATTATAAATGGCGTGCCAATTAAAACGCGAGCTAATTGTCGAAACGAGTTGTTCGTTCTCCCTCGCATGCATGACGTTGTTTCGCCTTTCCTCTCTCTCGTCGAAAATAATTCCAGTTACAGGAGATCCGAGCGCGTTTAATTCGAGCGGTGCATGTAATACAACTTTGCGCGAAAAAGCTTGGACTCTTCGTGGCGAAAAATCTAATTCGGGGAAGAGAATTTCGCGTTCCCCAAGTTTATCCCTCGAAGGAGAAATATTTCAAAGGCAGATCGAATTTCGGAGGCAAAGGAGATGATACCCATCGCTGGCAAGGAAGCCGAGTCTCGTTAATTATAATCGCGGCTCCACCGTTGCAAAGGACGCATCGATTCGACTTCCAGCGTTGCCGATTGTCCAACTTCTCTAAAACCAACCGAACAGAGCTTGGCCGGCTCGAAGAGAATATAAGGAAAAAGGAAATGGTCCCGAATTTCGCGCCAACTCGATAACTGCCTCTCTTATAATATCCATAAACCATGGACAAGAAGAAAAACTCGCTATTTGCAATTAACTTTTTCGTATTCGATCAATCTCTTTTTTCTTGCCAACACGCATAATAATAAATTATTAGAAGATTCCACTCATTTCGCGAACGTCGTAGTTAATTTAATTTCCTTCACGCGGCAATAATTGAAAGGATTGAAAAGATAGATCTTCGTTCGAAATTATCGACTTTCTACGAATCATCGATCTCTTTTTTCTCCTATGATAAACGTGATAAACGTACAAGGAGCAAGGGTGAATTATCGATTCCGGGAAATGGAAATGGAAGCCCATTAAACCAAATCTCTCGATTACCGGTAATGATCGTCATCTGGCGGATAAGCAGGTCGGTCGCAAATCCTCGTGGAGGAAACGCGCATGGAAACGGAATCGAGGCTTAAAACCTCGTGGGGGCGGCGGCCACTCGCGACGAGTAAACAAAGGAAGAAAGGAAGGAAGGAAACCTGCATATCCCGAAGAGAAGACTTCGCCTCTCTTTCCGTTTGATCACCTTTTATTTTCTCATCGATGTTTTAGATAGCTCATCGATGAAAACTCCTGCTCGAAGGAACGGTGTCCCATTAATTTTTCTTCTCGCCAATTCGATTAGCCGAAAGATTAACGCGAAGAGGAAACGACTTCTTCGTTTCGATTACGGTTTTCAGGAACAGAAAAAGAGGAATTTGTTCTAGTGTAAAGTTCGATCGAACTTCGATCAATTTGAGAATATTTTTCAAACATTCGTGGACCCACTTTCGATCGCTTCTTCGAAAAGCTGAACGGAGCAGAGAGACGTATCCGCGTTATTTTCGAAGAAGAAGTAGAATCTTGGCTGCGTAACTTAATTTAACCGTGTGCATCGATGATCAATCGATGGAAGGCGTACGTGCGAGAACGATTAAGCGATTAGCTGTCTTGTCAATCCGTGGCAATTTTTTCTCGAAAGATACACGTGGAAAAAAGTGGAGAAGGAAGATTGACTTAAAGAGTGGAAGGATGACTTATTCCACGAGGAAGATGTTCTTTGCGGCCTGTTGCTTGAAAATATCCAACCAACCGAGGAAAAGTCCACGTATCTATCACGACGAACATACTCTGTCCCTCTAATGGGGTTTGTCTTATTTAATTTCCGGCCGACTCGAGGGGAAAAATCGAGGCGTGATTACTTTCTATTCGCCCTTCTTCAACCCTCCAACTGTCCCCACTGCGGGAATAAAAGTATTTCCACGGATCGACGCCCGCGTTGGGCCGCGTTGCAAGCTCGTTCATCCCCTCGTCGATAAATGAATTTTCGCGTTGCTAGGAGCGGGCTGTTTCCAGAGACTTTGTCCTCCTCGATTTCTATTTCAACAAGTTTCAACTCGACTGGAACACTGGCTCGAGAATGGATCCGGTGATACGAGAAGGAAACCCCTCACTTTCCACCCCCGAAGAGGATCGTTTTTCCTACTGTATCCGAGTAGATATCGAGTCGCGTTCGAGCGTTGTTATTTTAACCCCCCATCTTCCTTTAAATCGTGATTACGTGGTAAATTAATCTTGCATCTATTTTCAAAGAGCTTTCCTATTTTCAGAGAGGTTTCCTATTTTCAGCGAGGTGTGTCGCGCTTGTTCGATCGAAAATCGAGGCTTTCCTTTTCCGGATACGCGTGCACGGAAATTCTCCGCGAATTTCCGGATAGAATCGGAGGGAGTGAGTGATTTTCTTGTTTCTGGAACCGAGATCGTGTTTTCCGATATCGGTTGCGCGACAGAGATCCTGGCGTTTGAAGAATCAAGGCGAAGAAACGGAGGTGGAACGCTTCGATCACCCTCGTGACCCAGTAAACCCCGCTTCTAAAGAATCGTAACGAGACTCTTAGAAATTAGCTGTGAGAAATAAGAGACCCTCCTCCCCCTCCACCCTTCCTTCTCTGTTTCGGTTCAGTCCATTCTCTCGCGCTCTAATTTTGCTGCTAATTTTCCTTCTGCCCAAGATTTTCAACTCTCCCTCTCTCTGAATCTATTTATAAGGAAGGAGAAACGAGTTAAAAGAATCCGTTCGAAAAATCACTTCGAATTCGCTCTCAATTCAATTTCAGCGCGATCGTGTTTCTCTTCAGGGAAGGGGGGAGGAGTTTTTCGTATCAGGGATCGATAATACGCTCTCGAATTGTTAATCGTTTCCTTATCGTGAGCCATGATAGGGGTGGAGGGTTCTCTATTCTTTCGAGTCTGTATTCGCTATCGACTGCGAATCTGAAGAAGCAGAGGCAGAGGCGATCTTGGAAAGAGATCGATTCGATAAACCGAGCAACGTGGTGTTCCATGCACGAAGAAGATGGCGACATACCGCCAGAGAAGATATCTCGTATAATATCTCGTAACTTTTCACCCAGATAGATACGTATATCGAAATTCTACGAAACTACAACAACGAAATACGCATCAAAATCTTAAAGTCATATTAAAATTATCGTTGTCTTCATCCCTCCCCGATTCACGGAAACGATTACGTTTCCAAATCGTTTTCATATCTCTCGTGAGAGAAGAGCAGAATTTCCGGAATCTTGGACCGAATATCTATCTCCCGTTTCCACGGGAGAAGCCGGAACCTCTTATTTCGATCGACACGCGAGCAGATCTCGCTCCGTTGAATCTTATGCAACGTTACGTCTTACTAAACCGCATCTCCGTGCCTCTCGCGGTCTAAATAGCTCGACATACGATCCGAGGGCTTAAATCCTTGTACACGTTGCCGGCCATCGCACGGCAACCGACACCGCGACAGTGTCGCTCGTGAAATTCCTATCCCCTTGAATATTCATCGAGGCGAATACGTTATCCCGCCGCGATAACGTTCTCCCCTCACCTGCTTTTCGCTCCCCGGTTACAAACTCCCTCTGTCGATATTATTATAAACCCCGCGTCGAAGCGGTTGTCGCCCGTTTTAGGCGCGTGAATGAGAATCGACGACGGCCACGAGGCGATGAATGGATAAAGGATGAAGAACGGTTGAAAGGATATTTTCGATGAAAGGAATATACTAAGCGGTTGAATTTGATATGGAATACGACGCGAATAGCACGCAAATAGATTCAAATTAATCGAGATTTCGATAGAGGATATATATATATATATATTCTAAACGTGTGAATATTATTCGAGAGAAGAACTCCTTTTTTATCAAAAGTTGCACGTAGATGGAACATTTTCTATTCGCGTATTTATGAAAATACACAACGTTGGTTAACTCGGTTAAGCGAATTAATTATTCGACTCGATTAGATCGAGGAATCGCCGGGGCGTGTAAATACGCCGGATACGGGAAATCATCGAAAGGGGGGCAAAAACGTTCCTTGTCGCGAAGAGGATGTCGTTTCCAATTTTTTCCCTCCCGTGATTCGAACGAGACACCATTAAATAAAATATAATAAAAATATAAATATAATAAAATATAATCCAATCGATACGTATTACATCCTCGGTGATCGATCATAAAAAGTAAAAAAAAAAAACGAGCGCAATTGGAACGGAATTGGTTCGGAAGGAAGGGATGAAGTAGCAGTCCTTAGGGAGGGAGAACATCCTCGAGAGGCCGGTCAATTACGATCATAGACCGGTATATATCGGCAATTATTATCCTCCAGCCTCTGTAAAATGCAAATCCGAGCCCCGTATCGTCCCCGCGATTTAATCCGTCGGATGCTGTTTATCGTCAAATATTCAGCGGGGTGGCGATCGACGGGGGACCTCGTTATTATCGTGTCACGATCGCGACGTTGCTCCGTAAAGTGGGCTCCGTTAAATATTTAGATATTCAGTTTCAGAGGGAAAGAATTGGAATGGGGGAGGGAGTCGGTCGATTGAGCGGCAAAGGGAGAGCTCGTCTCTTAAATAAGTAATCTCGAGCGGGTGGGTGTCCCGCCCGATCTGTCTCAAGACGTGCCGTTTCCACGCTCGTCAATCGAGATCTTCGTATATTTTCAGCTCGTCGAATCGAAATATAAATCTATTTGCGAATTTGCCTACGAATTAATTCCAATTCCGGGGAAAAAGAAACGCGATTGATCGAATTAATTAGGAATTGCCTCGTTTTCGCTCTCGCTTGGACCTGCCTCAACCAAAGAGGCGGGCGATGATGAATGCGCGGCGAGACAAGGATCGATGATACGACTATTTTTCTCCCCTCCCCGGAGAAGCGTCCGCTCTCAGAAACGTAATTGTTGGCCAGTCGTTGGAAAGAAACG